TCCAGGTGTAGATTCTATGGTCCAGGTGTAGATTCTATGGTCCAGGTATAGATTCTATGGTCCAGGTGTAGATTCTATGATCCAGGTGTAGATTATATGATCCAGGTGTAGATTATATGATCCAGGTGTAGATTATATGATCCAGGTGTAGATTCTATGATCCAGGCGTAGATTATATGATCCAGGTGTAGATTATATGATCCAGGTGTAGATTATATGATCCAGGTGTAGATTCTATGGTCCAGGTGTAGATTCTATGGTCCAGGTGTAGATTCTATGGTCCAGGTGTAGATTATATGGTCCAGGTGTAGATTATATGGTCCAGGTGTAGATTATATGATCCAGGTGTAGATCCTATGGTCCAGGTGTAGATTATATGGTCCAGGTGTAGATTATATGATCCAGGCGTAGATTCTATGGTCCAGGTGTAGATTCTATGATCCAGGTGTAGATTCTATGGTCCAGGTGTAGATTCTATGGTCCAGGTATAGATTATATGATCCAGGTGTAGATTATATGATCCAGATTTATATTCTATGGTCCAGGTATAGATTATATGGTCCAGGTGTAGATTCTATGGTCCAGGTGTAGATTCTATGGTCCAGCTATAGATTATATGATCCAGATTTATATTCTATGGTCCAGGTATAGATTATATGGTCCAGGTGTAGATTATATGATCCAGGTGTAGATTCTATGGTCCAGGTGTAGATTATATGATCCAGGTGTAGATTATATGATCCAGACTTATATTATATGGTCCAGGTATAGATTATATGATCCAGGTGTAGATTATATGATCCAGGTATAGATTATATGGTCCAGGTGTAGATTATATGATCCAGGTGTAGATTATATGGTCCAGGTGAAGTTTCGGTGGTCCAAGGGAAGTTTCTAAGGGAAGAAATTTTTAGTATTCTAGACCGCCTTACAACCTATCAGTTTTTTTGCTACTTTTTGGAAACCCAAGCCAACCCTAACTATAGGATGTATAAACAACAAAAAGTCTTAATTCTAGTCTTCAAAGTAGACGGGGTGTCAGCTTCAGGGACAAAAACTGGAAGTTGTTTCCACAAGACAGCATTCTGAAAACTGAAAATCCTGCTTCCTATTTTAGAAACTCTAGGAACTACAAGTAAACCTGCAGTCTGAGAGTGAGGTGCTCTGTTAGAAAACTATGAAACAATAAGATCTTTAATGTAAGATGGAGCTGAAATAAACGCTGTCAAATATTAAGAGAAAGTATCAAATCTTTGATCAGAGTAAGGTTTAGTTTCAGATTTTCAACATGTCAGTTTCTATCTGGACATTTAGGATATGGTAAATACAAATATTGAGCTTTTCCTGTGACGTCTCTGCAGGAGCTGCAGGGCCTGGTGCTGCAGCTGCGCGACGACATGGTGGCGCTGCGGACGTTGGCGGATCACATGGAGGAGAAGCTGAAGGCCGAGATCCTGTTTCTGAAGGAGCAGATCCAGGCGGAGCAGTGTCTGAAGGAGAACCTGGAGGACACGCTGCAGCTGGAGATCGAGGGCTGTAAGGAGGAAATAGGTGAGAGTCGAGGACTGATCTCTGATCAGCTGGGGGGTAAACATAAACGTCAATTACTTTTTAAAAAAAAGAACAACCTTAATGATTTTATTTTCCTGCTAGACATTCTTTTAAAAATGTCTTCTCTGTTTCTGCTCTTGTTTTATCCCCGATCACGGTCTTACAGACATCTTGGAAGGTATGAATCATTTAACCCTGCCTGTATGTGTGTGAATTAACAGCATCGCTGGAAGACTAACGACCACAGAGAGCACAAAGTAACAGAGCTTAGTTTTTGCCTCACACATTCTTTAAAGTCATATTAAAATATGCACTTTTCAATGTTTTTGTTTGAATTTTTACGCCTCCGTCACAACTTCTACATCACTGAATGAATGATTGGGGGTTAATGTAACTGAAACTCAACAGTTTTTGTAAAACTTGCGTTAGCAAACAGCAAATATTCCTGGTCTTTGTTGCCCCACGTTTCTGAGTGAAGGGGGGGGATTGGAAATGCCGTCCGTCCGTGCATTTTATGAGCTTGATGATTTGGAAAAATAAGTGAGGTGCCAACTTTCATTTTGGCGTGTGTTGGCATAAGGAAGGTCACCGTCAAAAATTAGGTAAACCCACAAACCCTATGATTTGAGGAAAGTATGTTTTCTTGTTTTTACGTTGATTAAAAGTGTAGTGCTGGTTAAATATGGTGGCCACCGTTGGCCACCCTCTGGCTCCTCCACTGCACCTTTTGTTGTTTAAAATGGCTCCCTCCACTCACCAGGATCCGTCACTCTGCCGCCGCCTCGGACAAGAAAAAAGAACTCCCTCTGTTCTTCTCCACACTGGAACTTCAGCCTCAAACTGTTGCTTTAACGCTCTCCGCCGCTTGATTTCCTCCCAAAATGACTATCTGTACTTATTATTATTTATTAAAATGACTATCAGTACTTCTTTCAACTCGTCCTCGCAGCTTTTAAGACCCGGTCATACTCCATCTGAAGCCGAACAGTCGACTCGGGGTCACGTGGTTGTGGGACGTTCCTCGTCAGACACACTTTTCGTCGTCCACGAGACACAGAGCTCCTAGGAACCCCCTCCTGCTGCCGGACACGTCACCACACGGGTTTCCTCCCACCAGAGTCTCCACTCCGTCCCTGCATCCGCCCTTTGGACACATCTATCACGAGGAAAGGCGCCACGCTTTTCAGCAGACGGCTACGTGCACGATGTGTGCACGATCTCCATCCAGGTTTTTTTTTGTCCATTTTGACTGATTTATTGTGTTTGAAGAGTCGCAGCTGAATGTCTGAGAGCGTTTCTGCATTCACAACCACACCAACAAACTTCTGACCAACCACACGGGAGTTGGTGCGTTCGGCCCGGGCCTCGTGTCGAGGAGGGGCGGAGCTACTCTGAGACCAACATGACGTGGTTTTCATCACGCAGCTACGTCACCGAGAGCTGATTTTGCCGCTTCAGATGGAGAATGCAGGGAACTTTAGTCACCACAGTGAGAGAAAAACTCTACCTTTTCTTTGTGGACCCGGTGTCTCTGATTCTGTCGTTCTCCCTCGGACCCCGTTTACATCCAGAGATTATTTTACCGATTTGATGTCCGTCGAGTCTGAAGTGAACTCGTCCGTTTGAATAATTGTTCACAGCAAAGCATGACTGCTGGTTTCATCCATTTATTACAAATTATTCTGTCTACTTTTGATGTGATGAGTATTTAGTGGATTTTTCTTTCTTAGATGATAAATGATTCAACTCAGAAATGAATGTTGCACATTTTGACATCTACTCTGGTTTTAACCATCTTTGGTAGCTGTTCGAAAACTCTCCGGTCTCACCGACGTAGCTTTAGAACAACTCCGAGAAAAACTCTGGCATGAAGGACGACGTGCAGACTTTTATCCAGACCAAATATTCGTTGTCACCTTCTGAAAAGTGAGATTAGTTTTGTAGTTTGCTACAGTTGGAAGAAACCAGAGCTAAACTGACAAAAAAAAAAAAAAGTTTTTTTCAAACTAAACCTATAAGAAGAAAAAAGATCATAAAGCCTTAAAATTATATTAAAAATATAACTGAAGTTTTTGCTCCCCATGATTGTTTTTTGTTTGCAGCCAATGCATTTAAACTGCACTGTGCTACTCAACAGTCTTCTATTTTATTCTTAATGAGGAAAATAAACTTTACAATTGGGATGTTTTAGGTTTTTAATGAAATCAATCATTTTTCATCATTTTGAACCAAATTTGTGCTTCAGTCTTTAGTCGGTGTGGCACATTTCATGTGTAAGATTCTGCCAGCATAAACTAATAAATCACACAAATTACCGTAATGTTCGGTCTATAGAGCAGACCTGACTATAAGCTGCGCACACTAAATTTTAAAATTTTAAATAAAACACTATTTTGTGTACAATTTTGTGTATAAGCCACGGGTGCCTGCATTTATAAATAAAAAACAGCACACAGCTCCGGACTGAATGTGCAGCTCTTGTTGCAGTACAAGAATCAACCACCAGATGGCGCTTCAAAATCTACCGAATAACAACACAAAAACTAGTCTAAGAAGATCAGACTACCGGTAATCACTAAAAAGACCAATGCAAAACACCTACGTAATCGAAATTATTAAAAAATGAACATACCAGTAAATTTTACCCACAATTCCTACCTGAGGCCCTGTGACCAGCAATCAACCACAGCAAATGTGTACCAGTAAAATACTCCAGTATAGTAAATGTTCATTAAATTACTGCCGTTGATTTTTATTGTTAAGCACTTTTGGTAACAGCTGCTTTATAAATAAATTTGACTTGAAGCTCTGAGTCACATGACTCACGAGGAGAGGGGGAGCTCCACCCTCAGTTCTTTCCGCTGTGAGCTTGTAACATATCTACTGTACACAGAAAGATTTTGTAAAAACTTTTATTTAAATATGTACCAGTAACATACACAAAATAGGCTACGTACAGTACGGCCAACGTTTTTTTTCTGATCAATACTTTAACATGGCTGGTAAAAACAAAAAAATCAGACGGAATTGTCCTTGCTTGAGTGAAAGTGAAACTTTAGGTTTAGAGTCTGAAAAATTAGCGGCTTATACACCGGCAATTACAGTATGAGCCTACATCTTCAGGCTCCTCTTTTTTAACATCAGGATTTAAAAATTTGTAACTTCACTCTTTAGACTTTTAGATTGTCTCGTATGGCTGCTGGTGTCAAATTTCATGAGATTATTGTGCACAGAGTTTAATATTTCCATCTTGAAAGCAGCTATCAGAACCCATTTCTGTGCTCCGTTAAACTCAACCAGTTTAAGGTATTTTATGATGAACTGAATTTATTAATAACAGTTCAGTCTAAAAGTCTGTTAAACCCAACTGAAAGATTTAAAGCTTTATCTTTTCGATGCTCTCATTTATTCCCATTAATCTTAAAAACAAGTGTTGAGGCTAAAGTAACAATTAAGACCTTTTACCGACCTAAAATGCTAAATTTAAGGTTAAAAAAGTTTAAATTAATTTGTTTTTTTATTAAATTTTAGATGCAATGAGCAATTAATCTTTGCATTTGTGACGGATGTTAAATTATGACACATTCAGCTGGAAAAACTAAGAATTTCTGCTGTTTTTAGTAGCTTAAGTTAACTTTTACTAAAAACAGAAATTATTATTCAGATTTATTTTTTTCAAACAGATTTCTCTCTGAAATAATAAATTGTGTATACGGTTTGAAGACTGTAGTATCAATTCTCTTGTCTTAAAGTGACTTAAGTCGCCAATAAAGTCAATAAAAACTGAATTATCTTTTTTTTTTTTTTTGTTGTTGTTTTATTTTGTCAGTCCTTTAAAAGCTTTAGTCTGTGGGAACTTATAGTTTAGATCTTTTACTGTATCTTTAATGTGAGCTGAGCACAAAATGCTTCGCAGCAAAGCAGCTTAGTCGAACTGTTCAGAGTTTTTTCCTGAGAGAAGAAACAAAGTTTTCAGGATCCAGATGATCTTCTAACGCTGCCTCTGTTCTCCACAGCGTCGTTCTCCAGTCTGAAGACGGAGCTGGAGAGAATCAAAGCAGAGAAGGAACAGGTGATTATTTATGTCTCAGAATGGAGGAGAAAACTAACTTCTGTTCTTCTATTTTTAAAATCACCTCTATTGTTTTTATGAGCTTTTTTATTTAGCTTGCACCTATGAAGGCCTCTCTAAATACTTTGAAGTCAGAAGAAGCTGTCCTGCTCTTCACCTATAAACTGAATGAATGTGTTAATGTGTGTGTGTAGCTGCAGAGGAGTTTAGCGGAGAAGACGGAGACTCTTTCGAGCATCCAGAGTCTGAAGCTGAGCCTGGAGCAGCAGCTTAAAGAGGTCACCAGTGCAAAGGTCAGGGCACGATAATCTGCGCGTTAACCAACTCTGACAGGGAATAAAACATCAAATAAGCACTCGTATGAAAAGTTTTATAGCATCTAATCCACCAGCAGGCCGTTCTAGTCCAACATCTCAAACAGTTTGTCACGACAACTGTTGCAGCCAAATATTACAAAAACTGCTCCGCATGAATGAATTGTTCTGCGTTTGTGTTTGCAGAGCGCACTAGAAAGTCAGGTTTTTGATGAAAAAGACAAAGCCCAGCGGCTGCAGACGGAGCTGGACGTCAGCGAGCATGTCCAGAAGGACTTCGTCAAACTTTCTCAGACACTTCAGGTATGCAGGAGTTGCTGTTGCACGGATTTATCGCCCAGCTCTGAAGGGTGAGGGTGGACGATGATGTTTCTGCTAGAGATGCATGATATTGGATTTTTGACCGATATCCGAAATGCCAATATGTTAAAACTTATTTGGCCGATAACTGATACAAATACTGATATTTTTGCCCCCTAGATCTACTTACAGAGACCACATAGCTTTCTCTGCTGTGCAGTTAAAATACATTATTCTGCATGGTCTTTGTCAGTTTGGCTGCTACCACATGCAGATGACAAAAAGGGACTGAAAATGATGTAACACTTCAACTTGGGTTATGTTTAATGTCAAATTTATTTATGACATTTACGCTCTCTAACACAATGACAACACTCGAACAGTGAAAATTTGTAAATTTTCACAAATCTAAGCTCAACCTGTTCATAAGCAACAAGTGAAAAGTGCGTAAGTAACAGTGCATTAATAGAAATATTTTGACAGTTTCTGAAATTAAAAATTAACTTAAAACAGAAGCCCAAAACGTGGTTATACAATCTTAATGATCAACTCAAATCTCCTTGTCACTGGGTTGTCATACAAAAACAGTGCCTTTTATGTATTTATATATAAACAGCACCTTTTATATCGGTGAGTTATTTTGATGGACCGGCCGATGTTCGATATTTAACTTTATCGCTAATATCGGCCGATATCGATACCATGTCGATAATATCGTGCATCCCTAGTTTCTGCTCCCGTGTGTGTCTGTACACGTGGTTTTTGTTACCTCTTTAGGAGCTTTTCTGGTAAACACACCTACCTTGTCATGCCTTAAGTGGACCTGGTACTACTACTTGGTTTAGGCCACAGAAATGAACGGAAGTTTCAGTTTTAATCAAATTAATTATTGGCTGTACATCTACAACAGATTGTCTTTGGGAGTCAACCTGATCCCTGATGGCTGCCACAGCTAACCAGTTTTAGCCGACACACAAACGCCCATGACTGGAACAATTTTATAGACACTGAGCTTGAATTTGCTGTGGTAGTAGATGAGTCATTCCCAACACATACACTGTGGAATATTTTGACTTCAAAACTTTGTCTCTGTTGGCACAATATTGCATGAACCACTGGATGGATTTTAATTAAACTATCAGAAAGTAATTACTGGATATACATCTAAAACTCAACTTCAAGATGGCCGCCACAGCAAAATATCCACATCTCCGTCCTTTTTACAGGAACTGAGCTGAAGTTTGAAGGAAGACCAGCTGAGAGTCGTCCTCGGCGCGCACTCGGGCCACTAACGGGCCGTCTGACCCAGTCTGTGGTTTTGTCCTCAGGTCCAGCTGGAGCGGATACGACAGGCAGAGTCTCTGGATCGGATCAAAGCAATCCTCAACGACACCAACCTGACTGACATCAACCAGCTTCCAGACACATGATGACCTCTGAAGGCTGCCTTCAGCTTCCCCCACTCTTTTCTCCCACCGGCCTGGTAACATTATTATCCGACCCTTCGTCCTCCGCTCCCCCAGAACCACTTTGGAAGAAGGAAGCAGACAGACCTGGCGGCACGAGCTGTGTACATTTCAAGCCTCTAAACACATCCTAGATAGAATAATGAAGAAGAACACTAAAAAAAATGTAAATAACCAAAATGTCTGACTGTGGATTGAGGGGGTGGAAGCCCCGCCCCCTCCCCGTGGGTTCGCCTGTATCTCGTTTCTACTGTAGATATGACCGTCTGTATTAGCTCTACCAAAAATGTTTGTCGTCCGAAGCACTTTTCACCCGCACTCTTTAAATGTCTCCCTCTGCGCTCAAAGCGGTGGATCGTCGCTCCACCTCACCTGTTTGTGTTTGTCAAACATTCTCCACCACGCTCCGGTCGTTTCCTGTGACGAAAACCCACGATGAAGGACGGAAAATACTTGCACATTATTTAACTGGGATAACTTCAAACAATGCAAGCAATACCTTCCATTTCTTAAACATCCTAAACGGCTGTTTGCTTGTTTTGTTGCTCTAACAGAAGCCCCTCCCCCTTTTTTAAAAGGCTGTGAAAAAGACATTTTTATTGTTTAAACTTGATTTTTTTTCCTGTCGAAGCATAATCATAAACGCTACTGAAACTGTTTATTTCAGGTGAGTTTAAACAGAGTGACAGATTAAAACAGGACAGAGGGAATGTTGGATTTTATTTGTCCTTGGTTTGTTTTCCGTTCGATAACGGCCTCAAACTGACGATGTCATTTTGATGATCTTAAATTTTATTGGGCGGTTTTTAAATTCTGATGGAAGGAACCCTAAAAGGAGCTCGTTTTCCCCTCCCCTCCTCTCTGACTTCTGTCTCGACTAATCTGTCATGAAAAGGTTCGCTCGTCACTACAAGAACTTATCTGTGAGCTGATTTGAATTAAATGACCTGAAAGTGTGTGAGTTTCTGTTTGACGTCCGGCCGTGACGACCGTCAGTCAGGACGGGAAACGGGTCGTTCTGAAGATGGAGCTCTCTCCAGAACGCAACCTTTGGGTCTGATTCTTGTTTCTAATGAATGCCGAGCTACCCAGAAGTAAAAACCTTTGTGTTTCTCTGAAGTCAGGAGCTTTGTAGAAGGTTTGAGAGAGAAAACCTGATTTTCGTTTTTTTACTTGTGCATCTACAGAATGAAACTTTTTATAAAACCTTTCAGGTTAAACTAAAACTTTTTGATTGGTTTAGTTTTTTAAACACGCCACTGAAAATAGTCAAAACAACATTAAAATAAATCCCAGAAAATGCAGTGTGACTGCAGATAACTGAACGTCTTTGTTTAAGAAACTCAAACTGAGTTGAAACAGCTAAAAGAAGGAAACAAGCTAAACAAAGCTAAATGCAAGCTAAACATACCAAAAGGCTAGCTAAAATTAGATAGGAAGTGGTGACGCAGGGGTTAGAGATGAAGGGCCTGAGATCAGAAAGTTGCAGGTTCAACTCCCTGGATTGAGATCAAAATGTGGATGAAAAAGTTGAAACACCCACATCTGCTTCCACCCTCATTTGCCCCACCCTGGGCCCTTGAGCAAGGCCCTTAACCCCCACCATTGCTCCCAAAACAGGTCTTGAAAATTAGTTTTTGTGACTCGGTGAGACTACTTGAATAAATTAAGGGTAAATAAAAATATAAATAAAAGTAGCTGAACACTAAAGTTGAGCAAGATTTGAAACATCTGTTTACTTTGCTGGGTAAATATTTGTAAAAAATAAATAAATTACAGTAATATAAAAAAAGACAAAAAAGTCAAAGCACTCATCTCCTCATTGAGCCGAACATTGTCATATACGCATGGATACACAAAGGATGCTGAATAGTAAGATTCCAAAAATCATGGAAAAGTTCAAAAACCTGGAAATCAGTGTGGATGCTGAATCAGCATTCAAAAAATAATTGACAGAAATTACAAACTGATTACATAAAATAACTTGATGTGTTTGAAACGAATTAGAAAATGTATATATATGCATTGATTATTGAGCATGCATCAGGATATATGTATGTTCGTTCTAGAATTGCTCCGCTCGTGGTGGCTGCATGTTGGAGCAGCTCTGTTACTTTCATTCTGAGATTTTGCTTTTGGAAACTTTAATTCCTCTTTTTCTGGATGTAAATCACATTTTTTGGATGATTGTTTCCTCTGGTATCAGATGCTGTGCAGCTGGAAGGATTTTTACTGAAACTTTTTTTTAGTTTTGGACATTTGTTATGATGCGTAACCATGGCAACAAGGCAGTTTTCTACAACCAACAGCAGCTGATTAACATCTCAAAAGCTCAAATAATATCTCAACTACAGCCCCAAATCTCAGATGAGTTGAAAGGATGTTCTGTGGACGCATTCTCATCTACCTGCCAGCTGTGCTCGAGTGCCTGACCACTGAGATCCTGGAACTAGCAGGAAACACGGGTCAAGACAGCAGGACAGGATCATCCCTCGGCACCTAGTTGGATGTCCGCAGCGACGAGGAGCTCGGCAGACTGCTGGGAGGAGTGGCCATCGCTCTGGGAGGAGTTCTGCCCGGCGTTCGGGCGGTCCTACAGCCCGGAGGAACCGAGAGGCCAGCCGAGTCTGGGTGGACAGATCAGACGGAATCTGCAGCCAGTTTCTTAGGATCCACTGTGGGATGGACCTTTACAAGAGATCCTTCCTGTCTACAGCCATCAGCATCTATAACATCTCTTAATGAAACGAAGATAACGAGTCACAACAAGAAATAATTTCCCTTTGGGATTAATAAAGTATTTTTGAATTTGAATTGAATTGAATAAACTTGTACTGGACAAATGCATATATACCGGTACATTTGAACATTATGTATATGTGTATGTGTACACCCCAAATTAATCGTGTTAAATTTAAACCATTAACAATTTTTAAATTCAGCATTATTGCGTTTAAAGCATTAGTTCAGATCTGCTGATGTGGGGTTTTATGCCAAACAAAGAATAAAAATTGAAAGACCTCCAGGAAAGCCTAGAGAACCATTTATGAATTCCTATAAATTATAAGTTAAGCATGTTGTAAAGCTTTTGCTGCACAGTTGGATACAGTCTGTAAATACAGTAAATGTTATGTAGTGGTGTTCTTTCTTGTCTGTGGGGGTACAGAAGTGATTGTGGGCGTGAAGCAGTTCCGTGAGTGACCTGCAGGGGGCAGCAGTCGCTGTAAGAACGGCGCATGTGCAGAAGAGAAGAAGAGAAGACGGACGGGGAAAGGGGGAGAAAAAAATCATAGGAATTACTCCTGTTTACAACAACATAATGGAGCCCAGATGGCTGAATAACGTTTGCAGCCGTATTTTATGGACTGGGTTTACGTTATATGTCGTTTTCGGTGAGTACTAAAACGAAATATCGCTTTAAAATAATTATTTAACGCCTATATTTGAGGTAATTGGGATAGCTAGCGACGTTTATACCTCCAAAACGGCAACCTCGCTGAATCATACGCCTTTGTTTCCTCGGTGTAGTTAGACCTGGTGTTAAACACACAGACGGAGAAGTATTTGTTTTCTGTCGGCTTTAGTTTTAGACGCACGTCGCTGCAACGCAGGAAATCACAGAAAACGTTAAATTGGCTAAAATCTGAATGGAGTTTGGTGGGTACGGCGGCTGCCGCCCATCCGGGGGTCTCCTGTGAAAGGTGGAGGCTGAAACGTGACTTCGTGTTTAGCTCGAATGAATCACAGCAGCTCACTGGATTGTAGCAGATTCTCATCGACGTTAAGCATAGATGATCTAACCAAAGTGTGTTTTTGTACGTTTAACTGGAGCTGTTCGGTGCAAACCTACGTGTCACTCAGGACAATAATGGGTCCTTTAATTAAACCTCATTATTATGTTCCAGATGATGACTTGAAATCAGTGGAAGTCATTTCTTAAATCAAAGCCAATTTATGAGCTGCTGTTGGGAAATAATTTGGCTCTCCGTCCAAAACTGCAAGATAACATCTCTTTTCCTCATTCCCTGCCCTCTTCCTGAACTGAACAGTAGTTTTACAATCAGATGATACTAATTTGTTTACTTTCATAAAGTAGTACTATAGCCACAGGCCCATTATTTTAAAGAACAACATTTACCTGTGTAAAACAATAGACTCCTAGAATCAGTCTATTTTAGACTGTAAACAACAATGTCAGTGTTTCATGTAGTTTACTCTGCTTTCATGGTATTTTATCATTGTTCAGCACTTTGGCCCATGCTTGCCTTTAAATGCACTCATCTATAAACTTACTTTTTTTTTTTTGTGTGTGCAATATTTTATGATCTGACCTTCCTGGTTGTCTTGCTGTATGACATAAAATATTACAGGCAGGACACTGAGCAGCATTATACAGTTTTATATCACACCGCACAACACAGGTCATGTTTCTAAGAAGGTTGTCAGGTCCTCTGGATGGATTCTTTGCTGAAATGTTTTGTCTTTTATCCTAAAGACTTCTTCAGTCTGAGGAGCTGCAACAAACTCAAGTCTTACAGCGCCAAGTCACAACAGAAGTCATCTCAGGGAACTGTACAAAAACATTCACATACATTATAAAAGCCAGTTAGCAGAAGTTATGTATCTAAGGAAGCCAGCAGATTGAGTCTTCACTTCATCACAGTCTCCCATCATGAGCAAGAGCAACAGTGGAAAGGAAAAACTCCCCTTTTTAAGAGGAAGAAATCTTCAGCAGAACCAGGCTCAGGATGAGCAGCCATCTGCATCTTGTTCACATGATAAAGGACCATCAGCCTAACAATAGATCGTTAGAGCCCTGATGGCCGCTTGCTATTCACAGAGGGCTGAGTCATGCTGCTAACAGCTGGACGTGGAGGCCTCTGCCCCTGTTTAACAACGGACAGGTTCTCTTCACAAAGATGGCTTCTTTTACTCATCTTTCAAACCATCGTTCCTCTCTATCCAGGATGTGCTCAACTTCATCCCTGATAGTGACCGCTGACCTGCAGATGAGTGTAAACTGCAGAGTCCTCACTGATGGTGTTGCTCTTCTGCGCTGGTCCATCCTTTTGGCCAGAGGCTGTTTAGTTTCCTTGATGTAAGACTGATCACAGCCCTCCTGACACTGAACAGCTTACACTGTTTGTGCTGGTGGACTGGATCTTTGGGATGAACTAGTCTTTGCCGTAATGCATTTTGGGGTTTAAAAGCCACTGGGGCGTTATGTTTAGAAAATAAATGTCACAATTTCCCTGAAACTCCCGCAACATACGGAATGACCACTGGTCTGGGTCTGGGGTGGCCTAGCACAGAAGAGCAACATCATCGGGAATAGCGAGCGGCCATCGGGGCACTAACGACCGATAGTTAGGCTGTTTCTTTGAGTTTGTTGCAGCTCCTCAGACTGAGGAAGTCTTCTGAATAAAAGACGAAATGTTTCAACAAAGAAGAATCCATCCAGAGGACCTGACTCAGCCTTGTTAGATTTATCTACCTGGATTATTGAGCAGGCATCAGGGCAGTTCATCTATATGTGATAAATGTTACATGCAAGTATATATAAAGCACAAATTGTTCAATAAAATACAAATGCATGCATACAAAATAAGACAAAACATCAAATCAGATGTTTGTGTTTAAATGAGCAGGTGGGATAAGAAAACCATTCAAACCAATACTTCCTGACATTAAACCTACATCTTTGACTGGTAGCTCATGTTCAGTAAAAATTTAAAGAAAGTTTTTTAATTTCCTTACTCTAAACCATTTATACACTTTCGACCAAATAACTTCTGTACATGCATTTTTAGGGTTTTATTGTTAAATATTAGTTGTATTTATCATCTGATCAGTGAGTAAATAAAATGCTTTCCTAAAGATATTATAAATTAGGTTTAGATCTAATTTAAAAAAGTTCTCCTCCTTTTATCTTTCATTTTAGTCTATTTTATAGGATTTAGTATTGTAAGAACATGCTTGTGCTCCTTTTTATGGCATTTGTATATTTGTATTTTGTGTTTTTATTCCACATATGGTAGGTCTAAAATATTAACATAATGTTCAATTAAAACATTTTCCTCTGAACATATTACGTCTAATCTTTAAATTTTTTTATTGTATTAAACTCGACAACATTCTGTTTTCCTCATAGTCAACAGATCCACCTGGAAAACCAGATTTCATGTATTTTTCACAGATTGACAACTGAATAATTGAAAAAAAATATATATATATTATTTTTTAATATATTTAACCTTTATTTGAAGAGGTGGATCTCTTCTCTCGCGCCGAGAGAAGAATGGTGGCAGCAGCAGGAACATTTCAAAACATAAAAACACAATTACAGAACAATAAAATACACATTAATATAAAAACAAAAATATAAGGAGAGGAAATAGAAACACCCAGAGGAGCTAAGACTAAGACTCGTCTTATTAATTGAAACATTTACAAACGGATGCCTCACGACATCTTTAAGCTGAATGTTGAAATTTAGCCCAGTTGACCAAACCAAGCTCTGCGGGACACAAGAGGTTTATCAACGCTCTCTTGTAAATCTGGGATCGTCTGACGGAGGGGAAATGGACGACAAACACTTCCTTCTGTCGATGTTGTGAAACGGTCTCCAAGCTGAAGTCTCCAGAGTTGCAGCAGTTTTTGTTTCCGACACGTCGTACTCCCCGGAGTCTGAATGCTGCAGGTGACGAGGCCTCTCCATCCTGCTGGGCTCACATGCAGCCGCTCAGATCGGTTGGAAATTATGACTTTATTATTTTAAGACGTTTGAACTTTGTTTTGAAGGCGGGCGTACCCTGCAGCTATTATAAGCAAGTTATTAATCGGTAACGTTTTCACTCGGTGTTCAGCATTTTTCATCTTTTTCTTTCCAGTGAGAAAATATTCAGTCGGTTTGCTTTACTTTTTAACAAAATAATTCAGTTAAGCTCCATTATATTGGTCAGTAATGGATTTACTGAGCTGATCCCAGTACAGTGGCGCAGAATCGGATCATGTTTAACCCAGAGCGGATGTTATTTATGGCAAATTGTTGCTAAAAATCTGAATTATGTTTATTTATCTTGGTCTGAAATCAAACCTGAAGCTGCAACTCACAGAGGTGTGTCAGTCGGAGACGCTACATTAAGAGAAAACGCATAGTTACATTTTATTCTTATCAGTGAATCAGTACTAAAGTCATGTTTATTATTAGATTTAGAGGTAAGATTATTATATTTATCAAATTAAATCATAAATGTGGGGGAGGGTGCAAAGCATGCTGAGGACCGAAGTGATGTGGGCGGATTTATTTTTAAATTAGCTGTTCTCGAAACACAGAATGTTAAAGTCGCTGTGAGGCGTGAATAAATCAGCTGTTTTCTGTTTGCCATTCAAAGGTAACTCTGAACAAGCTGCATCTTCAAGCCCAATGACTCCTGAAATTAGCCGAAGAAGCTAAAACTGAGTTTTATCGTTGAAACTAAAAGAAGCAAAAAAGATCAGAAGAGCTGACGGGTCACGTACGTTAAAAACAGCTGATCGAAGGCTGAAACAAAAAATATCAACGGTAGCTTGACGTCAAGAGTAAAACTCATAGCTAAAGGTTAAGGTCAGCAAAACGATAGCTAAAGGTTCAAAGGAGCATAATAGTTGCTAAAGATTCAAAGTAGCTAAAGGTTCAAAGGAGCATAATGATATCTAAAGGACAGTAACAACACAATATACACTGAAGCAGATTTTGAAGAGAACGTTTTTTTAAAGGATGTGAATTGATGCCAATCTATTTTAATATTGAATTTTATTTTAAATGATGTTAAAAGTTATTAAAATTCTCAGCTCTCATCTCCGTGTTGTGACTGCTGACTCGGCGTTGGCCTCGGTGCGATGCTGAAATGTCAACTGGAAGTAGTTCTGATTGAACGAGCGAAGCTAACATTTTAAAAGAGCTTACAATAACAATAGCAACATTTAATGGTTAATTTCAATCAACCTTTATTTATACAGGTAAATCCCATTGAGCCTTGAGGACTCATTTACAAGAGAGACCTGATTTCAACAAAGAAAGATGACACCAATGGACAACAATAAACAGTTATAAAAAAGCATACTATAGTTTTTTTTTTTTTTTTTTTAAACAAATAGGATGGCTAAAAGGAAAAGGTAGCAAAACAAAAAAAAAACCCAGCTAGATTCCAAGACAAATGTAGAAAACTAACAACAGGAACATGTCAGCATTGGACCCTGCCAAGTGTCCAACAGATTCTTAAAGACACTTAGAGAGGTCAAGGTCGAGAGCTTCAAATCTTTTTGTAAGATATTCCAGGAAACAGGAGCGGAATAGGAGAAGGCCCTTTTGCCTAGTTCAGTCCTCATTGAGGGAACACTGCAGGTAATAATGTCCTGAGAGCGCACTCCGTAGCTGCACTCACGCAGAGACATGTAGGAGGAGATGTATGAAGGCAGCAGACCAAGAAGTGATTTAAAGATGAAAATGTACCAGTGAGAGAGTCTGCGTGAAGTTAATGATGTCCAGTTAACCAGTGAATACTGGGTGCAGTGGTGGGTACGATAATCACAGCCAGTTATGAATCTTAGTGCACCATGATAGACAGCATCCAACATCTGCAGGGTTCTTGTAGGAGCGTTCATGTAAATAATATCACCAAAATCAATTGAGGGAAGGAAAGTCACAGATACAAGACGTTTCCTAGCATTCAGGGTTAGACAGGATCTGTTTCTGAAAAAGAAACCCAGTTTAACTTTCAGTTTCTTTATCAAGTTTTCCACATGGAGCTTAAAAGAAAGATGTGAGTCGACCAAGATACCCAAATATTTATAAGAATCAACAAACTCAATGGGGACACCATTTGAGGACAAAATATGAGGAAGAACTGCTGGGACCAACTTCCTATTTGAAAAAAGCATCCCTTTGGTTTTTTCGGCATTTAGGACAAGTTTGAGGTGAAACAAATCAGTCTGGATGATGTTGAATGCAGATTTCAAAAGCTGGAAAGCCTTAGCAACTGTTTTAGCTCGACAATAAACAACTGTGTCGTCAGCATAGAAATGTATGGATGCATTAGGGATGTTTTTACCTACATTATGTATGTAGATTGTAAAGAGGGTGGGTCCTAAGACTGAGCCTTGTGGTACACCATTGTTGACTGTTAAATAACTGGAGGAAGTACCATTATGTTGAACACATTGCCTCCGGTCTGAAAGATAGTTAGAGAACCAACCAATGGTGTGTTCTGAGAAACCGATTTCTGAGTGTTTATGACACAAGATGTTATTATCCACAGTGTCAGAATCTTTAGACAGGTCTAAGAAAAGTGCAGCACAATAATCCTTAGCATCCAGTGCTTCAACAACATCATTAAGAACCTTCAGTGAAGCAGTGGTTGTGCTGTGTTGTTTCCTGAAACCAGATTGATGTGGAGGTAAGATGTTAAATGAGTCCAGGTAATCTTTGATTTGAGAGTTTATCAGTTTTTCTAGAACCTTGGCTAAAATGCAGAGTTTAGAGATTGGTCGATAGTTGTTCAGTGAGGTGGGGTCTCCTCCCTTCAGCAAAGGAAGAACAAAGGCTGTTTTTCAAGTGTCAGGGATGGAGTTTTGTCTTATGGAGAGATTGAAGATGTGGGTCACAGGGACTGTGATGATATGAGCAGCCAGCCTTAAGAAATAAGGTGGAAGTTCATCTGAACCTGCAGATTTTTTAGGATCAAGACCTTTTAACAGTTTATTGACCTCACTGACTGAGAATGGAGAAAAAGAGAAGCTGTGATTAACTGAGGATTGACTTGTAGGAGGGATTTGATTTGTAGAAGTTTGGTTATTAGGGGAAGTGGCTGATCTTCCATTAGTAACTGTGTCAAATAAAGAACCAGAAGCAACAAAATGTTTGTTGAAACAGTTCAGTTCAATTTATTTCATCAGCTCAATTGTCAGACAAGTCAAAAAAAAAGATTTTAGCCCGAGGCTCTTACAACCCTTTCATGTTAATCTAATAACTCATCTGTAATCGTACTTTCTGTATTTCACGATGTATCTTGAGATTACAGATTAAAAGCATGTTGGGGCTGTAACTTTCAGCTGTGCGTCTTGTTCATCAGACTTTGCTTTGGAACTCCTCATCTTTTCTCTTAGAGTTTGTTCCAGGTCATTGTCTTTTTATTTTTTAACTTTTGAGCCTCCACTAAAGCTGTAACTTATTAGTCGCTGAAGAGAATTGTGAAATGCAGTTTTTCTTCTGTGTTGCTGTAACTGCTGTCTGATGTCTGTGCAACTGTATGTTCTCTCTTCTTGCCTCAAAGGTTCAGGATCATTATTTGTTTTGAGTCAGCAACGTTAGATACACAAAAGAAGGCGTTTTAATTTTTAATACAATGAAATAATCCTTCCTTTGTCCCTCGGGTTATACGAGTTTCTTCTGCTGGTCGTTATATATTACAAGAAAACATATCTTGTTTACTTTCAAAGTGGAATGAGCATTTCTTTCAGAAACTCTTGCAGGAAGACGACTGAACGTCTTGCTGCTCGTTGTTTTAGCAGTAGCCTCCTGCAGAGCTCTGCGTTGTTTTAATTCTCTTTTCTGTGTTAGGTTTTACTCAACGGGGCTCGACAACGCTAACTTTGTTTCTTTTCATTAAAGTCACCGAACCTACGTCTGCAATCGATATCTACGTCGATCCTGAGGTGGTAGTTCAGAACGGCACCAAAGGAGTCCTGCGGTGCACCTTCAAGTCCAGTGCGGTGGTCAGCACCTGGACCTCGGTGACCTGGAGCTTCCAGTCAAGTCAGCCCGACCATCAGTTCTCCAAAGCTCCATATGTGGTGAGTCTCCGCCGATTGTACCCAGGAAGAAAAGCGTTCCCAGTTTCAGGAAGTTTTCCCGTCATTGTTTCGTCTGTCCCGCTGACTCGTCCTTTGAGGTCAGTGCGGCGCTGCAGCATGTCTCTACATTATCTGCTGCTAGGAAAGCTGCAGGGTGATATGCATTCCTTCAAGGAACGCTTGGCCTTTATTTGTGTTAATGCTGATTCAGCGTTTCTGTGTGGCTCCATACTTGCTACGTGCTATTTTAGCCATTCATACATCAAAACATTCAGCTCATTCAGGAGATGTTAACTCTGATATTTGGCTTATATAATTTTTTATGACTAAAATATTAAAATATTTACCTTTTTATTTCCAAATACTTTCTCATAGAAATACTTTTAGAGATCTATAATTTGAACAACTTGTTCTCTTTGATATCTGCTTCAGCACACTTGCTCTTTACTATTAACTTTCAGCTATCATTTTTCTAATTTTACCTGTTTAGATAGCCTTCTGCCTGTTTTAGCAAGATTTTTCCTGCTTTATTTTTTATCTAGTTTTAGTTTCAGCCAGCATCTAGCTATGATTAGATTTGAGGTAGTGTTTTCCTACATTTGGCTTGTGATTTGCTCCTTTTGACTCATGTTTTTGCTCCTTTTAGGTTATGATTTGGTCTTCTTGGATTGTGTTTTTTGCTGCTTTTGGCTTGTGATTTGCTCCTTTGGGTTCATGTTCTTTGCTCCTCTTGGCTCATGTTTTTGCTCCTTTTAGGTTATGATTTGGTCCTCTTGGCTCATATTTTTGCTCCTTTTAGCTCGTGATTTGCTCCTTTTGGCTCATATTCT